TGAAAAGGCATGAATATTGTCCCACTTGATTTGCTCCGTTCTTGAAGTGAATGTGGTAGCGGCGCATAATCAGTCTAAATGAAGACAAGTTCCATTCTTGAAGTGAATGTGGTAGCGGCGCATAATTAGTCTAAATGAAGACGCGTGGTTGAATAATGAACATGGACGTTCCAAAGATCAAAATAATAATAATAATCACTATGAGTAGAATAATGAGGATTCTCAAAATAGTCCTTCAAAATGTGAAGGCAATGTTTACCATCAAATTGGTATGAAAAATAATAAAGTACGCCGCTGATTATGATCCATTCCTTGAAGCGAATGTGACATGTGATGAGCATTGAGAATGTAGACCTATTTTTAAAGGTGAATGTAGCAATATGTGATAAAAGTAATGAATAAAGACATACAATGCATGATTAAATGAATACCGCACAACTCATCTCTAAGGGAGGTTTGGGTGAAATAAAGAGAATAAATATTTTTATGTGGTTACATGAATATGCCATTGGTCGCGTACATGTGATACGCCAAAAAATATTGTGTTGTGCCTTATAAAAGGTTATTAAAGGCAAATTAAAGCAAGAAATAATTTTGTTTATGATGATTTTGACCATGATAATTTATTATGATATAATTTTCTCCGTGAAGGAGACATTTACCATATAAATGGTGTGACAAAAGATCTTGTAGTACAAACATTGTTAAGAGCTCCGGAAAAATTAATTTGTTACTACCCGGATGAATAAAATTATTCACAACATTGATATTGTAAACTCTCAAAAGAAACTTTTGAGTTTCAAATGTATAAGTCAAAGTGGTTGGCATATTGAGACTATAGATGAAATGAATATTGAATATCTTCATATTTCTATAATCATAACGGGTAAATATGAAAATTACCTAATTTTCTTTCTATTTTTACTACACAAATATAAGCATGATGATGGAATCACATGTCACAAGTAAACTAGAGGTTTACTGAAACAAATATTAGTTGGCATGACCAGTTGACCATCTCGGTTCAATTATGATGCAAAAAATTAATTGAGAATTACATTGGCATATATTGAAGAAATATAAGATTCTTCAAGAATTCTCTTGTGCTGCTTATTCTCATGATATACCAGTTAAGGTTGGGATTGAATCCCTTGATTTCTGGAACGAATAAAATGTGATAAATATATGGGCTCAGTCACCTGCCACGCGAACCGTTTACTATTATATGATTTTACTATATGCATCTATTCTATGATTACATATGGATTTGTTATCAACTTTCAGTTTGGCTTTTGCAAGATTGATTGCTCAAATTATTAGAGCACGGTTCCAGAATATAAATTATGATGATTTATCTTGATAATATTGGTTTAAATCCAAGTTGATTTAGCAGAAATTGTACGCCTATGATCTAAACCATTGGTTATGGGAACAAAACTGCCAAAATAAAATTTGGTATGTGATGTATTATTTAATATACAACAACACTTGTACGCATCTAGCCAAGTTATGATAAGTTCTCCCTATCACAAATGGTTCAGGATCAGGAACCAAACAATTTCCATTTAAAAATATAAATGTGCTATATGATTTAATTGCTCCACCACAATGCACAAAGATGGATCCCCAAATAAGGCTAGGGATATGTGTTAGTGATCCCAATAATAGGGGGAGAAAATGGACAGCTGAAAAAGTAATGTATGTAATGAATTATTATGAGTATATCTAGATCCTCGTACGAGAAAATATAAACTTGAAGTTCAAGTGATAATTCATTTGCAAAATATTGCCAGGTGTATTTGTTGATCCAAAGCTAAATGTCATATTCAACTGCTAATGCTCCAAATAAAATAAAGTTCATAATGAATAGAGTCTATGGCATGCATGAAGTATAATAGACTAATCGGTTCCAAAGATAAAACTCTTTGAAGAAGGAGATGAGCAAATGTTCAAGATGGTCATAATAAGTAGGCAAATGCTCTAGAAGAGCACCGCGACATAACACTTTATAAGACTTTATGGGAGAGGCTCAGGTACCTGAAAATAATAAGATAAAGAGATCTTAATAAGTTATGTCTTTATTGGGTAATAGTAGAACCAATATAAAATTATCGTCGACGATATTGTTAATATAATATAGCACTCAATATTATTAATATTGACGAGGATCTTGAGCTCAAATATGTCATGAAATTTGGACAGATAAATGATTGGCCAAATAAAAAATACGCAGTGAAAATTGATTTCACCTGAAAAATATAAAGTTGGACGGATAGTCCCAACACCTGGAAGTATAAAGGCAGTGAAGGTATAAATGTGTTCTTGTGCAAAAAAAAAGGTCAAGTCGATAGACAAAAAGACGACTTGTGTCACAAGAAGATTTGTAAATATACTGGCATTGATTATATAGAGACATATTCTCCTGTGGTGGATGTAGTCATTTCTGGTTTTAATCTGGCAATACAAGACAACAAACAACATCAACCCAGTAGTAATCCCACTAGTGGGGTCTGGGGAGAGTAGAGTGTACGCAGACCTTACCCCTACCCGGGGGTAGAGACACTGTTTTCGGGAGACCCTCGGCTCAGAGACAAAAGATCTGTAATAACACAGAAATCAGACAAATAGAACCAGCACCGTAAGAGACAACAAATAAGTGGAAGGGCAATAAGTATGTCAATAATAAAATTAAAAAATAAATTATAAAAATAAAAATCGTGTGATGAACAACAACCGCTAGCAGACCTAGACCAAACTCTATCAGACTAGCTGTAAAAATGCTCAACTACTTCCTAATCTACAACCCTAATGCTCGACCTTCACACCTCCCTATCCAGGGCCATGTCCTCGGAAATCTGAAGTTGCGCCATGTCTTGCCTGATCATCTCGCCCCAATACTTCTTAGGTCGCCCTCTACCTCTTCTCGTACCTGTCAAAGTCAACCGTTCACACCTCCTAACCGGGTCCTTTAGGCTCCTCCTCTGCACGTGCCCGAATCATCTAAGCCCCACTTCCTGCATCTTGACGTCCATAGGAGCCACACCCACCCTCTCATGAATATCTTTATTCCTAATCTTATCCAGCCTAGTGTGCCCACACATCCATCTCAACATCCCCATTTCTGCTACTTTCATCTTCTGGATATGAAAATTCTTGACTGGCCAACACTCAGCTCCATACAACATGGCTGGTCTAACCACCGCTCTATAGAACAAGAAAACCGTGATATGCGTATAATAGAAATCATTAAAGGATTTAAATTATTCTGAAGCATATTAAGGTTTCCAATAAATTTATTAAATAAAGCTTCAAAAATCCTTATACGGATTGAAACAATTAGGGCGCGTGTGGTATAATCGCCTAAGTGAGTACCTGTTGAAAGAATGGTACAAGAATGATTCAATTTGTCTTTGTAAAAAGATCTAGACTAAATTTATTATAATCCCCGTGTATGTTGATGATTTAAATATTATTGGAACTCCTAGGGTGCTTCCTAAAGCAGTAGACTATTTAAAGAAAGAATTTAAAATGAAAGATGGAATTTTTGTCCATCAATCAGCATACACTAAAAAGATTTTAAAGCGATTCTATATAGATAAAGCACATCCATTGAGCACCCCGATGGTTGTGAGATCACTCGATATAAATAAAGATCCATTCCGACCTCATGAAAATAATGAAGAGTTTCTTGGTCCCGAAGTACCATATCTTAGTGCACTAATGTATCTTTCTAATATTACAAGGCCTGACGTAACTTTTTCAGTTAATATCTTAACAAGATATAACTTTGCTCATACAAGGAGACATTGGAATGGAATCAAACATATATTGTGGTATCTAAAAGGGACTACCGATATGGGATTATTTTATGACAACGATTTCAGTCCCGATCTTGTTGGTTATGCTGATGCTGGGTATTTATCTGACCCACACAAGACTCGATCTCAAACTGGCCATGTGTTTACATATGGAGGCACTGCCATATCTTGGCGATTGACTAAGCAATCAATCGTGGCTACTTCATCTAATCATGCTGAGATAATTGCTATTCATGAAGCAAGTTGAGAATGTGTATGGTTGAAGTCTATAATACACCTTATTCGAGACAAATGTGGTTTGAAGTGTGACAAACTACCCACAATTTTGTATGAAGATAATGAAGCATGCATAGCCCAATTGAAGGGAGGATTCATAAAAGGGATAAGACAAAGCACATTTCGCCAAAGTTATTTTTCACACATGATCTTCAAAAGAATGGTGATATCAACGTGAAACAAAACCGTTCAAGTAATAATATGGCTGATTTGTTCACCAAATCTCTACCGACGTCAACCTTCAAGAAACTAGTATACAAGATTGGGATGCGAAGACTTAAGGATGTGAATTGATGCTATCATCAGGGGGAGTTAATACGCGTTGTACTCTTTTTCCCTTATAAGGTTTTGTCCCACTTAGTTTTCCTTGCAAGGTTTTTAAGGAGGCAACCAAAAGGCGTATTTCTAAACATGTGTACTCTTTTTCCTTCACTATAATTTTTTTCCCATAAGTTTTTTTTCTAATAAGGTTTTAACGAGGCACATTATCTATGGACATTTAAGGGGGAGTGTTATAAGAAAAATCAAATTATGGTGGATGTCTACTCTTTCTCCATGATCTTCTCAAATGCTTAATGACATATTCAATGATATATTTTTATGCTTAATGACATATTCAATCACATATTTTTCTTCACTTTTCATGCTTATATAAAAGCCTTGTAATAGATAGTAAGAAACACACAATTAAAAAAAAAATAAGAATATCTCCTCTCTTTCTCTCTATATCTCTTAACTTATTTTTCTTTATTCTATATTGTTACTTTGAACTATATTTCATAACAATTACTAAATATTCTAAAAATAGTACTCCATCAATCAACATTTTTTTATTGTCTAGAAAAGCTATTTCGGGCGGAGTTAAACGGGAAGAGTCGAATTCAGGGTCTGAAGACCCGNAATTCTCGAGATCCAAACCCCCCAACTGAAACGAAAGGGAGGTCCCAATCACATTAGATACTCTCTTTCATTCACCATCTTCTTCTGCATCAAATGCACACCCGATTTGGATCTCCATCTAAACCTCCCACTCTTTGATCTGCATTTGAACTGATTTTTTTTGCATAAATTTGGAAGAAGATGTATATGGCATATGGATGGCCACAGGTCATCCCTATGGAATCAACTGGGTTATGCCCTTCTTCTTCTCAGCAAATTGTATACCTGAAGCTCATCAATCGCTTATTGCTTGTCGTTTCACCTACTCATCTTGAACTATGGTCCTCCTCCCAGGTCGGAATGAGTGCAACAATTGGAGAATTTCGATAATTAATTGAGTGCTGATTATTTTTCACGTTTCTTTTGTGTTGCAGCATAGAGTGAGATTGGGCAAGTACAAGAGAAGCTCTGATTCAATTCAGAAGGAAGGGGAGAATTTGCGCGCCGTTTGGAGTCCTGATACCAAATTGATTGCCGTCCTTGTAAGTGTCTTACGTTGATTCGGTCTCATGAACTCTTTGTAATGTAATGTGCCTGAATAGAGCAGAATGAATAGAGAGTAAGATTCATATATCCGACCTCGACTAGTTCGGGTAGTTGGTTGGTGGAGTCTGTCTTAATGAGTGGTATGTAAAATGATAATTTGTCATGTAAACTGAAACATGTGCTCCATTTGCAGTTCAAGAACGGACCGTTTAGGGCATCCCAAGTGCTCTACAGCTTACGTGCATATTGTATTGTCCAGGACTTATGGAAAATGTGATAGTTGATGATTTCACGCTCATAAATACTAATATAAGATGTTTTACAATTTGAATTATCTTGTAAGAGTCGCTATACTTATATGGACACTTGAGAACTAAATTGCTTGCTGAGCTTTCTAGGAAAATTGGGTTTAACTTTATACACTATCAATTCAATTGTCTATGGTAAGTGTAAATATCATGTTAAATAAACTAAAAATAACTTAAATCCTATCATTATTAGTTAGGGGTTGATTAAAGTGAACGGGGTTGTTGCTGACATTTAAAGAACTGTTACTGTTTGTTGCCCTTGTCTCTGATACTGAGAAGTTAGGGCTGCTTTGATATGCGCGAAACAGTGGGTGCCTTTTATACTTACTCCGTCTTACTTTCTTTGTATTGCAGACCTCTTCCTTCTATCTACACATTCTGAAGGTCCATTTTACAGAAAGGAAAATACAAATTGGAGGCAAACAACCAACTGGTTTGTTTCTAGCAAGCATAGCTTTGCTCTTGAATGAACAAGTGCCTTTTGCTAACAGGAACTTGACAATGTAAGCTGCCCTGTTTATACTTCTTGACAATTTATAATTTTAATCTCAAGCTGAAAACTTCACCCTCCATGGATTTTTTGTACTGTGAACTAAATAATTCTTTCAATGTCCAGGAGATACAATTATTTTATTTATTTCATTTTTGATAAATCCATGAGAGAAATGTATTCCAAAAATGCCTTCTTTTCTCATAAGCTACCAGATGTCCTACTGGTTATGAAGTCAAAGGTTGTTGGTACTGCATAGTCAAATAATTATGCAGTTTGGTTTTAGCTTTTTGTACCAGACAGAAGGGTTTGTCATTTCCTCTGTCAAGTCCTAAAATAATTGTATATCTATCCAACAATTGATATTTTTGAATTTTGTGCGTCAAAAAATTATCTTATTGAAAATCTTATAAAATAAGTATCTTACTGAATTTTGAAAGGTGGGGCTAATGCACAATCAGTAGCTGAAATAATCTACTTATATTTGTAAATAGCTACATACTTGTAAATTGATTTTTAAAAGATCTCATGTTGATGTGCTTGCCAAAAGAAAAGGGGGACCTAGTGACGATGCAAGACCTAGAGGATAGTGAAGTTAATAACCACGTAATCTAATATATGTTAATGTATGATTCCCAAGAGAAAGGCTAGTTACATTGGAGATTCTTTGTGCATATTTGCTTGGCCTGGAGATCTCGTTGTTCATTTTATCTGTGTGCAATTTGAAAATGGCTTAAGTTGTCAATTAAGTAGGGCTAGTTTCCTTTGTAGCGTAAGTTCTCAATCAAGTATAATTTTGTCTTCATTTGTCACCATATTGAGATCCTGAGGTCCTATCCAGTCTGTACTTTACTACTTGTGTGAATTTGTGTTGTTTCACTGGCAGTTTATTTTGTGGAGAATAGAGAGATAGGTCCATTCATGTCTTTCATGCCAGATTCGTTTCTTCATTATTTAACTTGTTGGCTATTGATCTCAGCTGAAATACACAATTAGTTTATTCCCTGCATATGTGGCTTGCAGGAGCAATATGGTTTGCGACAACAAACATATGATAGTTGGGCTTTCTGATGGATCTCTGTATAATATATCCTGGAAGGGCGAGGTAACTCTTTTTAAACATGTCTTAATAGTATTGTGCATTTTCGTTTTAGTTGACAGTTCTGGTTTATGTCTACTTGTTAAAATTAAAGACTGTAGTTGTTCATTTCAGTCAGCAGAAAATGTAGAAAATGTTTGTTCATTTTATTTTTTTGTTGTATTGCAGTTTTGTGGGGCCTTTGATGCCTTTGATCTTGATGTTCAGCCTCATGATGGCAGTGGCATTCCTAAACTAGCAAGTTCTTTGGAAAACGGTCTTGCTTCTGGCGGGAGTTTATCTTTTTCTAAATTTAGTCATCATTCGTTGAATAACTCTGCCGTGGTCCACTTAGAATTCTCCTTACCCTTGAGGTTGCTTGTTGTGCTATTTTCTGATGGACAACTGGTCTTGTGTTCTGTGAGCAAAAAGGGTCTGAAGCAAATGGAGTCTATCAAAGCTGAAAAGAGACTGGGCTCTGGTGATGCTGTATGTGCTGCAGTTGCTTCAGAACAACAACTCCTTGTTGTTGGTACGAGAAGAGGTGTTGTTGAGTTGTATGACATTGCAGAATCTGCTTCACTTATGCGTTCTGTTTCTCTGTATGATTGGGGGTAAGCTTTTGCCATTGACATCCAAGGTTGGGAAAAGACAGGCATGATTAGTTGCTGATGAGAGAACTCTTTTAGTGCAGCATATTGATTATTTTGTCCCAAGCTAAATTCATTTATTTATTTTCTGAGTCTTGTTTTGAAGTGGGTATAAGCTTGATAATGGATGATTAAATCAGTAATAATAGTATGTGGCAACTAAATTTATAATATGTGCTTTAAGGAACCTGTTTTACTCGTAGTATTGAGCAATGTACACTTATTTAAGTTATATTCAAATTTCTTTTTCTGGTGAATAGAAAGTAAAATTTGAGAAGCATCTATGTAAGATTATTATATATGTGATCATAGAGCTCACACTTACTACCCAAGGGTATTATTTCAAATGTACCATCAATGGACAATGATATAGCCAATGGTAAATTTTGTGTGTCCGTATGACCTTTTCAGAAACAATTTTGTGTGTAAACCATGTGAAGCATATATCTATGAAATTTTGGCAGTTAGCAGAACTAGTTGCGAAGCAAATCCATCAATCTAAACTATTAAAATGAAAGTATTCTACCTAGTTGGTCTGATTTTGAGACATTTTAGAGTAGTACTGACTTTTTAGCTCTGGCCTCATCTTGTAAGAATGAAAAGAAGGTGATGGAAGATTCTGTATGAGGAAATTTGCAACAGTTAACAAAAGACTAGGACTTTCCTGACTTCTCAATAAACCTGCAATTCTTCTGCAGATATTCAGTGGAAGATACTGGGGCTGTCAGTTGTGTTGCATGGACACCTGATAATTCTGCTTTTGCAGTTGGGTGGAAGTTAAGAGGGCTAACAGTTTGGTCTGTTTCTGGCTGTCGCTTGATGTCCACAATTCGTCAAATTGGCTTAAGTTCTGCGTCTTCTCCAGTTGTCAAACGGAATCAGGAATGTAAATATGAACCTATGATGAGTGGTACCTCGCTGATGAACTGGGATGAATATGGATACAAGCTTTATGCTATTGAAGAAGGATCTCCAGAGAGAATTATTGCATTCTCTTTTGGAAAATGCTGTCTGAACAGAGGAGTCTCTGGGATTACTTATGTCCGACAAGTAATCTATGGTGAAGATCGGTTGCTTGTTGTGCAGTCAGAAGATACTGATGAACTAAAACTCTTGCATCTTAGCCTTCCAGTTAAGAGTTATTTTAACTGAAGAATGTGGTTTATTCTTTTCGTTTATGTTGCTTTTGTTTTTCTTTATTGGGAAGCTGTGTTTCTAATGTAGTTTCACTTCTCCGCTAGGTTTCCTACATCTCTCAGAATTGGCCAGTTCAACATGTGGCAGCTAGTAAGGATGGAATGTACTTAGCAGCTGCTGGCCTTCATGGACTGATCTTATATGACATAAGATTGAAAAAGTGGCGAGTTTTTGGAGATGTCACTCAGGAACAAAAGATCCAGTGCAGAGGCTTGTTATGGCTTGGGAAGATTGTGGTTGTCTGCAACTACGATGATTCTTCTGACGGGTGAGNTGATGATTCTTCTGATGGGTGAGCTATCTATGTGCATTAGCTAGTACCTATACATCATCAACTTATGCTGTATGAGATAGATGAGCACATTTCAATCTCAAAAAAATAAAGATAGACGAGCACATTTACATTTGTTACTATGTTCTACACAAGGTATGTATGTACAGGATATGCATGTCCATATATTGGATTTCTCCAACACCTTACTGCTGACTGGTGTTGACTTTGAATTTAAAGGTCTGTTCTGATGTTTAAACTGGTTTTTTAAGAAACTCCCCTGTGATTTTGTGGTTTACTCTTAGATAACAATGCATTTAAGAGGTGAAGTAATCACTTCCAATTAGGGAGCGTTGAGCAGTAAAAAAGCATCTTTTGGCATGAAATCTGGATGAGTGACAATGTAATAATGTATAGTTGAATAAATGTGATCATAATGGGAAAAACATTTCAGGAATATTTTGAAAAGTAAAGAACTTGATATGCATCTAGTTCGATAAGCTTGGCCACGAAAGGGTGCGCCCTGGGGTAGAGTGGCATTCTATTCAGTAGCTACAGCTTACCCTTGAATGTCAATCTGTTTGGTTACAAGAGGCAGCTAGTATGTGAAATGGATGTCCTTGTGCTCACAAGAGTTTGTTATGGTCAGACAGATGCATGGAGATTGCAGCAAATATTGTCTACACTTCTATATCTCAAGTGTTTGCTTCAAGAGTCCTCTATTTGTCTCTGTTTTTGTTTGGATATATGGTGCTGGGCAGTATTTGTATGGAGTCATTTTTCTTATTGAAGGGCGAATACAGCTTTCCAATTGTAGATTGAATCTTTAGATTCTTTTCAAGAGGGTTCTCGAGATATAGCATTTAATAGAACTTGTTCAACTTTGATTGGAATTACAGGTATGAATTGCTTTTCTATCCCAGATATCACCTTGATCATAGTTCACTACTATGTCGGAAACCTTTGCTTACCAAACCGATCGTCATGGATGTTTACCAAGATTATCTACTTGTCACTTACCGGCCCTTTGATGTCCATATTTACCATGTGAAATTATCTGGTGAACTAACACCTTCGAGCTCCCCCGATTTACAGGTGAAGCTTCCTTAGAGTGTATGCTCTATAAAACTGTGTCAAAGTCAATTTGCATTTTAAAGCTCAAAATATAGAGCAGAATTTCTTTTGAACAAGAGTATCATATCTGTCATGCGTTTTTAAGTGATAACATGACAAACAGCTTTCTACAGTACGAGAGCTATCAATCATGACTGCAAAGAGCCATCCTGCTTCAATGCGTTTTATTCCTGATCAGCTCCCAAGAGAAAGCGTTGCAGGGAATGGTGGCCTGTCAACTTCTTTGGATCTGTCCAGAGAGCCTACCCGGTATGTACTTATTGTTGAATATTGCATCTCTGAATTGGACCCTATATTGCCACATGCTAGTATCGAGATGTGCTGGATTTGGTGGTTTCTAATTGTACTGATATGTGGTTTAAGACATGTTGTCATTTTCGTGCTTTCAGATGCTTAATACTGCGGACAAATGGAGAGCTTTCACTTCTTGATTTGGATGAGGGGAGAGAAAGAGAACTCACTGACTCTGTGGAGTTGTTTTGGGTTACCTGTGGTCAGTCAGAGGAGAAAGCAAGCTTGATTGAGGAGGTTTCATGGTTAGACTATGGCCACCGAGGAATGCAGGTAACAGTTTTCTTTAGCAGTTGAGTTTTTGTATATTTCTATACTTACCTTACATGTCTGATGTATATACTGGTTAAAAGCTCATTATTACAGGTTTGGTATCCATCTCCCAGTGTTGACGCTTTTAAGCAAGAGGATTTCTTGCAGGTATTCAAGTTGCTAATGCTGGAGTCCACATATTTGTTTGTCTTTGATTTTGCACTATCTAGTTAATTGTCCATGTTTCAGTTATTAGTAGCTGTTAACTGATTCAAGAAATACAGCTTTTGATCTGTTTTGATATGCTCTGTTGTATGTGAAAGCTTGCTTTTCCCTTTTCTTTCTTTTCTCTTGAGGGGAGGAGTTTGGGAAGAAGACTAAGGAGAAGTCGTCAGGATCAACAATGAGAAAGGGAAAGTTAAAGAAACCCAGATATTTTCTGGCATAGGTTGTTTGGGATCCTGCAAGTTCTTGAAAGTGCTTAATCATTTAATAAGTTCAAACCATATTAGGGGCTAATTAAAGTTTAAACAGTGAAATTCCAAGTGAAATATAGCCGAAGAGTGGAACCTTGATTGAAGTTTAAATAATGGAGCATTTCATGATGTCATTTTGAAAAAAGAAATGAAATACCCGCACGGGTATACTTCTGGCCCTTAAGATTCATCTTTTACCGGATTCAAGCATCAGAATACTATTACTTTGCATCTTTAAAATATACAAGTTATACGTCTTCTGCTTATGACCAACTAAGGTCAGCGATAATTAGCATTGCCTCACCACCAGTTATGATCTTAGCTTATCATTCATTGCCCCAGATCATTAACTATTATCATGCATAAACCCTCTTTTTCATTTAAAAAATCATTAACTATTATCATGCATAAACCCTCTCTTTTAAAAACCTATTATCATGCACAAACCTAAAATCTCATTACCTAACCTTTGCTTTTTGTCTAGATTCTAACCTGCTTTTCTTTCTTTTATTTGGATATTTGGTGTGAACTTTTAGTTGGATCCGGAGCTGGAATTTGATCGTGAGGTGTATCCTCTTGGTTTGCTGCCAAACGCTGGAGTTGTAGTTGGTGTCTCCCAGAGAATGTCATTTTCCGCATGTACAGAGTTTCCATGTTTTGAGCCTTCTCCTCAAGCTCAGACTATTTTGCATTGTCTACTTCGACATCTTCTACAGGTACTTCGCAAATTATTTGTATTCAATGGTTAAAGTGAGATAGCTGATGGAGTATCTAGTTATTGATAAAAAGGTTGGGGTTTGAAACACGGTTTTCTTTTATAGTGGCGATTGTTTCTAATTTCTAAACTAAGAAAGAAATAGAACATATTCTCTTTCTCCAAGGAAGCTGATACAGACATTTCTGTTGAATCATCCCTTTTGATTTCCCATATGGGGATGTGCCAAGATGAACATATTTTCTTTGCACATTTTAGAGATAGATAGATTGATAGATATAGAGAGTAATGGTACATTACAGTGAAATTGCTTTGAGAGAGAGAGAGAGAGAGAGAGAGAGAGAGAGAGAGATGGTGCGTAACAATGATATTGCTGCACCCCGAGTTTGAGCCGTGGGAATGGAGTCCTCTTTGGTAGGGTGCGCTAAAACCCCCCATAATAGGCTTCCTATGACGCGAATCCGAGTTAGACTGGTCAGTAGATTTCGAACACCGGATGGTTAAACCAAAAAATTGTATTACCAAAATTATGTGCCTTGAGAATGAAATTGCATTACCCATTATGTGTATTCGTCAAACTATTTTTCACTTTACAATGTCAAGATATTGTGGTATTTGTGAGAAGGCACGGGAGAAAATATGTTATTGATATTAGATGAACAATACACTACAAGAGGTCCTTATTTATAGCTATACTATACAAGGACATACTATTCTTCTACCAATGTGGGACAATACTACACTATATACATGCTGTAAACTAACACTCCCCCTCAAGCAGGTGCATACAAATCATATGTACCGAGCTTGTTACATATATAACCAATACGAGGACCAGTGAGAGACTTGGTGAAAATATCTGCAAGTTGATCGTTCGACCTCACAAACTTTGTAGCAATCTCTCCTGAAAGTATCTTTTCCCTGACGAAGTGACAATCAATCTCAATGTGTTTAGTTCTCTCATGGAACACCGGATTTGATGCAATATGAAGGGCAGCTTGATTATCGCACACAAGTTCCATCCGACTGATTTCACCAAATTTCAACTCCTTGAGCAATTGTTTGGTCCAGACTAGCTCACATGTTGCCATAGCCATTGCTGGATATTCTGCTTCTGCACTAGACCGAACAACTACATTCTGTTTCTTGCTCTTCCAGGACACCAAATTTCCTCCTACTAAATTGGTCTGAGTATCCAATGATCCGCTCATGACCTCGATCCTCAAAGAGTAACCCTTTTGCCTGGAGCCGATTTTATATATCGAATAATGCAGACAACTGCATCCCAATGACTATCACACCAATGACTATCACAGGGAGAATTCATAAACTGACTTACAACACTCATAGGATAAGAAATGTCGNCGAAGCCACTTTAGCCACAGGAGAGAAGGTATCACTGTAATCGAGCCCAAATATCGGAGTATATCCTTTGGCAACAAGACGGACCTTAAGTCGATCAATCTGTCCATCGGGACCAACTT